CTTTCAATTAAAGATTCCATGACCTTTCAGTTAATCTTTGCTGAGAATTATGGGACAAATTGTGTCACCACGAACGCGCCCCGAGATGATTGTCCTACATTTCTGTCGTTGCATCAAATGTATTTGCTGTTAAAATTCCTTTTTTATAGCTTCTTATTTAATTAAGTACTTCTTATATATTTGATTTGGAAATATATGCTATTTTTATACTAAAATTATCTTACAACTTTTTTTAATCAACTTTACAAAAAAATTGGATCGAAAGAAGCTCAGAGATCTTGAAATACGTTTGATACATTGCGGATGCGCAGGCTGGTCTGGATCCATGCTGGTCGCAAACCCATTATGTTGGTTTTGTCGTGACGCGGCTAAAATGGTTTCCTATCAATAACTTGACAACCCATAGGCTATTGACCCTCAAGTTCTGAGGTGCATTGGTCTTGGCGAGTAAATGGCCCCTATTAATTTTGTTGTCAAGGGGTCAAAAATCAAGGTCATATTGACATTCTAGGTAAAAATGGTTTCCGATCAATAACTTGACAACAAATTGCATTGGCCCTTGGTCTTCAAACTGCATATATGTATTGGTTTTGGCCAGAAGATGATCCCTCTAAATTTTGGGGTTAGGGGCTCAAAAATGATATGTCAAAACAGTCTCCTATCAATAACGCGACAACCCTTGGACCCTTAAAATCCTATTCACATGATATATCATTAGAATTATCCTACAATCAAGCAATTATACAATAATAACACATTTTGTAAACTTAATCAAAATGTTATTGACCCGACCAGTGAGTGATATTACAATCGATTTAAACACGCCTGAAAAAAGTCTCACTTACTACAAGAAGTGAATTAAAAAAATAATAAAGTTTCCGACAATATACTTGGTGTAAAAAAAGAAACACACACTCAAAAAAGGGCACTTCAAAACTTGTTATATAGAGTTTCCTGTAACAGCAATAACAGCATGTTATTATTCAAAATAAAAAGTAATTATTACCTTCTCAACAAAATAATCCAGGACATCATAAAGAAGGTATCGGACAAGAAAAAAATCAAAAAAAATCAAGACACCTTTGTTTTACTTACCTTCTGGTTATTTGGGCATTTATATAACGATATAACGATCAATTTAAGTTTCATTTACTCTTATTTTGTACCAAATATAGGAATGTAACAATAAGTAAATGTTTGATTTTTAGTGCTTGAGACCAGTTGTATTTTACTAATAAAATGTGTGATATCTGACCGATTTCATAAATTCCAGCGCCAAAACATAGAGGACAAACATCTTTATGGAACCAAATTAACTAAATCGTCGTTTTTTTTTTAATTTAGTGAATCATTTTAAAAACGCAATCTTCTTTAAATGAGACTGTCAGCAAAAAATAGTATATCTCTTTTAACTCTGTTTCCTTTAATATTAATAGTAATATTTCAACACTGAAAAATTACAAATGGCTGTAATGTGTGAAAGTATGCAATATATAAAGCACATTAGATAAACTTACCAAAAATATGAGATTTGAGAATTAACCCTGAGATCTTCTTATATAAATCTCTTTTTAAACAGTTACTTTCAAACTAATATTCCATATATTTCTAATTTCACGGATCCATAAAATACATTGTAAAATGTAATGACATTGTGATAAAGTTGGTAAATTTTTTAAGAAATCCCAAAAAGGTTGTACCTTTGTCTGAATACAGATAAAATCAATAAACAAAAGACAAATATTTTATAACTGGCAGTATTACAAATATTTAAAAAAAAATCCGCTCTTAATTATAATAATGAATGTACACTTTCTTTACATACCTTAGTAATGTGGTTATTTTTTTGTATTGAAAATGACAAATCATTGATTGTATATATCATATGATATAAACGTACTACGGTTGTTCCGTCATACTATTTTTAAGTTTCCGTTCACATTTATTAATAGGTATCCTGATTGACGATATCTTATAACACTTAGTTAAGTTTGGGTTATTTGGACCAAAGCTATCGGTGCTTACATAAGGAGTTTTTCTATTTTGCGTTTACATGCTCTTATTCATCATGACTTATGTCTTTCGTGTTTAATAGGAACATAGATAAAGTGGCCTTTTTTGGGTAAAGTTTGATGTCACTTAGATCATCACAGTGCTTAAACCTTTGTACACCAGTGTCGTTCGTGTTTGATAAAGGACAATTATATAGGTTAATGAATAAATTGTCACTTGAGTCAAGGTCATGAGGACCAGCACATAAAATAAAACGGGAGGGTGATCGATTCTGTCGGAGTTAAAGTTAGTGATTGATTTGATTGACTTAGCGTTGGGTTTACTATCTCAGTCCGGTACAAGAGTTATATAAGTCAAGCCCTTTAAGTCACAAAATGGCCCCGCCCTAGAGGCCACTTTGTTTACATAGGCTTATTGCTGGGTCGTGTTGTGTTGCGTTCATTTAACGCTGCATTTCCTTGTTGATCTTGTTTGTCATATTTTATACAGGCAAATAGATTTAAGTCTGCAATACCCGGAACATAGATATTGTTATGGAGCATACCCAAATGGACCAAGATCCCTGGGTCATATTTGGTCCCTACAAAGGTAACACATAATTTATATAGACTTAAACAGTAAAAATACCTCTTTACTTTAGTGTGACGTCATCACTTTTATTACCGGAGCGGCAAGCTATTCATAGCTACTTTAAACGCAGATGACTGACCTAGTCACACCTTTTTCTTAGTAATAGAAAGAGCACCGAAACACGAGGCTATCTGATTTGTACAAGGGGGCGTAGCCGCCGAGTATTAATCAGATTACCGAGTGTTTTGGTGTTCTTTGTCTTTTGTATCAAAGTCAAACATAAAAGCACGTTCCCTGTTGTCACAATATGAAACCCCGGCAAAAATGAAGTTAAGCTTTGTCGTATCATTGTGTTTTTTCACATTCGCATTTTTAAGCCGAAACAGCGAAATGACGATAAAAGCTAGACGCATTTAGCCATGAAACATTGTCCAGTGAACCTCACACACGTCTGTTCAAGTTATAGCACTACGGTCAAAATTGACCCCACCCTGGGATCAAACGTTTTCAATATATGTATGTATTATAACTTAAAATAATCTTCTCCTTTAAACTTCACAGACTGCACATCATAGATAATTTGGATGGAATATTCTCGAATTGACTGCTTCTTGAAATTATAGCTCATTAATCAAAATAATCTTCCACCCCAATAACATCCCGGCGTCATTATACAGTGACCTGCAGCTTTGTTTGTAAAGCTACAGCTATAAATTCTGGACTGGATGCACATTTTCAGAAGCCAAATTGAACTTTGATATCAGTTGACATAGATTATGATGCAGTGACCTTTTTTCTATTTTGAGATGTAAGCTTTAAAATTTATTCTGTATGCAGTTTCAGATATAGAAATGATCTTTGACATTAGTTGGCCTAGATTTTGACCCAGTGACCTAAGTTTTGTAAAAAAAAAAGATACAGCTATAAAATGTGGACTATATGCACAATTTCAAAAATATTGACTTACATTTTGACCCAGTGACCTGCATACTGTTTTGCGAGCTACAGCAGAGAAATTTGAAATACAACCACAGTTTCAGATGCAGATTTTAACTTTAAAAATAGTTGACCTGGATTTGTATCCAGTGATTGTCATATTTGTAATAATAGCTACAGCTGTGAATTCAGACTATACCCATAGTTTCAGAAGCGGATTTGCACTCTACTATCAGTTGACCTACTCTTTTACCTATTCAACATTTTTAAGTTCAACGGAGCTACATGATATGTACAGGCAGTGTCTCTCAGGTGTGCGGTATAAAGCCTTTTGACCCTCTTGTTTTGCATTGAGACATTTTCGTTTAAGTACTCGCATTGTCGAATTTTTGCATTTTTACATGTTTTGTTTTTGTTATTACTAAATGTGATTGTAAGTGTATGTTTGGTGTTACGGTGCACCGCAGTTTAGGTCACATGAAGCTGAAACAGGAAAGTTGATTTTGACTAACCTTGGGTGTTACAAACTTACAGCAAAATTAGGGATCAAAACCACCTCCTCTGCGTTAGTTTAGATATGCAAAGAATCCAATAGTTCGGACCCATTCAGTCGCCTCTTACGATCAGGCAGGTATAAACAGTGGCTGAAATTCTGATGCTTCAACCATTAAAGGCAACCCCTCCACCACAACGGGCGGGGGCAAAATGTAATTGCCTGTGTGTTTGGTTTTATGGCGCACCGACACAATTTAGGTCAACTTGCAACGAAACGGGAAAGGTGATTTAGGCTAACCTGAAACTTTAAGCATCATTCGGGGGTCAAAACCAACTTCCTAGATGGGATTGAGAGATGCAAAAACTCCAGTTATTCGAACTTACCTAGACACCGCTTACGACAACGCTGTGATTAATGGTGGCTGCACCTCTGATGCCTCAATCCTTAAAGGCAACCCCTCAACCACAAAAGAGACAAACTGTGATCACATGATAAATTAAAAAAAATGTTAATATTATTCAGTTATAAACCAACTTACTAGCTACATTTGATGCCATTATTCAACACGATGTGGCATATGTGAACTATATCTATATAATTTTATCTGTAACCGCTAAAAAATGCGAAAGTACAGAAATTGGTAAAATACGATAATGCAACAATGCGAAAAAGCAAAAAAAAGGTTACACTTCTAAAACGTGAAAAAGTAAATACACAAAACCCTCACATTTTATGGTAGATTAACTCAAAAAATAGGACGGTGACACCTCATATTTGTTATCATTTACATTTCAATCATAATTCTCCATAAACATGCAAAGTTGCAGATTATGTTCAACACTTGTTTACATTTTCCACCTTTGCCTCCGTAAAAGATACTTAACTTTTCAAATAGGGGCCTTATACCCTAAACTACTTGTGGGTAATCGACTTTTGTGAAAAGATAAATTGAACATTTAGATAGGCAAGTATTATGAAACAAGTACTAGTTTATTTGGTGTGTTTTTGTTTTTTTAATTTGGCAAACAAACTGCATTTTATTAGTTGAATTGACAACACAATTTTGCACTACCTGTATTAATACTGGTTAAGTAAGACATAAATGATACACATGTATACATATGCACTTCATGGTGATAGTTCTATTATAATAATGACATGTTTTTGCATATCAAAGTTCAAATTGAAGTAGTTCAGCACCTTCCTGATGATTGGTCTATACATGGCATAAACTACGGTGTTCCATTAGGTCCATCGCCTACACATAAAGAAATACGAAACGCGAAAAGTCGACAATTTCAAGTCTCTTCGCGTTTTCGACTTCGTCCCTTCGTCTTCAATCTTTAGTGTTTTCCACTTTTCGCGTTTTCATATTTGTTTATTCATAAGCGATTGTCCTAACGGAACACCGTAGTTAACCCTTCAAACGAAATACATTCAGCCCTTATTCCTAATTGTGCGTGTTATGCAAAAAATCTTGTTTGTGAATGGTCCCTCCACTAAATCCTCACGACATTGGTTTCTTACACCAACCGGGAGTCCAAACATTGCCAAAATATTTCGGATTAGCTGCCGGGTCTGTTGGTGGAATTTTAGCGGGTATCATGTCTTTTCTGTATTCATTCATGCGTTTTAAAAGTTTCTGAACCATTTCTGGCATGTCGTCTGCTAGGTTTTTATACTCGTTTGGGTCGTCTGAAATTATTGATATAAGTTTTATTTAATACAGTTTCCTTATTGTATTAATGTTTGTTGTTATGTACGAAAATAGATATGTTACAATAACCTCTATGTGATACATATATGGTAGATCTAGCACTATTCACTTTTACCAATATGTACATGTATATAATTAAACCATGAATTCTGAAAATGTTGTTTACCGAGGAAACACTATTTTCAATGTATGTTTTGTTCAACGCTATTAAAAATGTTTATTTATTCTATTCTCCTTTGTCATTTATTAAAGTTAGATGTACATTTTTGTTCAATTTGACTTTTACATGTACGCGGATACTCGGAGTTCATTCTGCTTTTGAGTGTCAATTGCAGACAGTATTGCGTCCACAAGATGATGCATGATAACACTCGGGTTTCTATGCTACAATCTTGATTGAAGAAATCTTATTCTAATTCCACTGTTTAATCAATATGTTGTTGTCAGTTAATAGCATGATGGACAAGTTTTATGGTAACATTGTTTCTTTTTTACATATGACAGATACTTGCCTGTATATGATTTAAAATTGGTGCCACGTAAACGGCCAAATAAAACAAAGAATGTCTTAAACATAGAGCTTCAGATGTGCAGATAATCTACGGTCTTACCTTTTAAGTTAAATAATTTATAGTAAGATTCGTTCCCGGCTTTTAACCTTTCCTCAAAACTAAATTCCTCTTCCAGCACCTCCTCTGTGTTCATTTTATCTGGTGGGTACCAGCCATTGTATAACCCAGTGTTTCCCGCCAATAATTTAAAATCGCCCATTCTAAAAAGTATAGAAAAAATGTATGTTAGAGCTAAACTTGTTAAAAGGTAAAAAAATCCCAAACAACAACCTGATATGGATCTACAGAAGTAGAGGGGAAGGGAGTTATTTACATAACAGCCAAAGTCCAAACACCACTTTCAGAGATTATTTGTTCGAGTAATGAAACTTAACTCGGTGAAGAGATCCATTTTTTAAAATAATTTCGCAATTTAAACAGAGAAAGTGCTATGCATAACTTAAAAAGCTTGAAAAAGTAACTGCAACATAGTTACCTAATTCCAGCATGGCCTTGGGTCGCTGGCACCGTGTCATCTAAATTATAGATGAATTCCGTCCGCTTGCCGTCTGACCCAGAACTTATAGCATCCCACTGTGATATCCCATCTAGACTAGGATCTGGAAGAATTTGATAGAAGTCATAGTAAAAGAAAAAGCTTTTTTATTAATCCATTTAAGTATTTCTAATGTCATTTCTATTCACTAGAGCCATACGTTATAGAATAATAAGAATTATATTTTCTCTGGTTTCCAAAGACTTTTCAAACTTTTTATATATTATCATAAATTATTATCCAGCACCCGTTTAATATACATATAATTTAAAAGATAGTTATTTCGTTCATGATGATCAAAGGGAGATTACTTTATGATAATTTTACCATCATTGGCAAGGCAAATGTGCCGAACGCCTGTGAGCCGAACGTAACGATATCTAAACATATGTAATGTTAGTCTTAAAAAAGTAATATCAGTAAGTTTATAGCTATGTAATTTCAATGGTAGCTTTTGGGGAATTCGCTTAAGTAACACTTGAGTTTCAAACACTTTTTAAACAAGAGCTGTCGGTAGGACAGCAACGCTCGACTATTCTTAGTGCTTGATAGTAAACAAAGCCTTGATTAAAAGTTAAATTTTCTCAGTAAAGAAAAAGGCAAAACTTTCCTTTAAATCCATATTACAGTATATTACAGTTATAGGCATTGAAGAGAGTCCTATTATGCTCTCAAAGAAGAGTATAAAATTTCAACATGTTTCAAAGCCTTATGTCAATGAACTTTGAAAATATTTGACGTATTACAAAAACTTTAACGTAAATTTTAAGTCGAAAAAGGGGCATAATTCTGTCAAAATGCTTGATAGAGTTACCTCCTCCTGTCTACAGGTTGGGATCATAATGTTGAACAAATGTGCAAAGTTTCAAAGCCATATGTCGATGGATTTTGAAAATATTTCAGGTATTACAAAAAACTTTAACACAAGTGGTTACGCTGACGCCGACGCTCGGGTGACTACAATAGCTCTACTTATTCTTATCGAATAGTCGAGCTAAAAATGAAGAACATTTGGTACCGGTGACGAAGCATAATAGACATGTAATACATTACACTTGTTACCTTTAACTTTTGTGCGCGGCGTCCGTGGCCGAGTTGTTTAGGTCGTTGACTTCAAACTACTTGCCACACGGTGCTGTTGGTTCGAATCCCAAAAGTGACTTTTCATTATTTGATGTTAGGAAGCTATTCGGATAGCTTACGGAACGTGCCTGGAATAACGCACGCAGGTACACCTGTGGTCTTCCTCTACCAGTAAAACTAGAAAGTCGTGATATAGACTATACTGTGTTTGTGCAACTAAAACCCAACAACAACAATATTTTATCAGCGTTTTGTAAACGAATAATTATATAGTTGTGATTTAACATACAAATGTATTTATTAAATGAAGAAATATATGATCCATACCAGGGGACAGACCGGCAGCTGTTAGTATTGTAGGGTGCCAGTCTACTGCATGCATTAATCTGAAGTAAAAAGACGTTTCATATGTATATATATCGTAGAAATTGATCAGAAGTGTTTCACAGATAGATCAGAAATAGGCCCTACAGTTACAATTACATTTTTTGTATTCTATATGAAATTGGTAAATTGACTTGTTTTTTATTATGTGAGGGATTTTCATTTCAAAATGATTAAATCCAGCAAGTTTAGAGTTTACAGGTTGTCCGTGTTTATTACAGTCATTATATTACCACAAGTGTGCAAAAAGTTTGTGCTGAAATTAAATAAAGAAACGAAACTCTATATCGAAAACATTCATATGTTTACCATAACATATCACATGCTGAGGCTTTAAACAGCAACAACATAACGTGTGGTATGGTATCAAATAGTTGTCAAATACTTAAATGATGGAGCATGTGATCGCGATTGTCTCGAATATGAAAAGGTAAAAAATGTACCCATTAAACACAGAGCCTGTCTGTTCAATTCTTGAACCGGAAACAAATCCTGCCACTCTTGTTCCACCTTCCCATATTGTAATTTTACCGCCACGCAGAGGCCAATTATTACCATGATAAGGAGTCCACCCGCCATTCTGAAAATGCATTCCCAAATATATGTCAAGAAGAAAAAACAAATATTTATAGTTTTATCACAATTTCTTAGATATTGACTCTTTAGAATAGGTAAGTTTGTTGGAACACCAAGTCTTATACTTCTGAGTTCAATTAGTTTTCTAGGGTCAATTTGTACATTCGTACGTTCCTCACAAAGATATCTATTAAAATGTACTGATCATTAAGTATTCCACTGCTTTTATATCAGCCAAAATTGGTGAATATAAACCGTCTCATTACGAGCCTATTAAGTCTCAATGCCCATAAAGCATTGGTTTTTTCCCCTTATTCATTGAATGTAATGTATTCTCCTTCTCAAGGGTATGTCATCGGCGGATTTTACGAACAATGTTCATATAGGGGCTCCAATATCTCCAATAGAGGTACTCATGTTAAAATATCACATTTGATTTCTAGAACAGAAGGAAAAAATGTCTTGACTTACATCTGGTGTAAAGAAGAATATAGTATCGTCATAAAGTCCTTTCTGTTTCAAAGCCTCTACGACACGCCCAATAGCAGCGTCTAATGCCGTCACCATACCTGTGAATTATTAAAGATAAACTTTGCAAATTTTTCAGCAAAATATTTAATCACAGAAATGTATTGAAATCTATGAAATTCTTCCTGATTATGTCTAATTTGAATTAAAGAACGAATAAAAGTTAACTATGTATGGGAAGCTGCGTTCCATATAACAGGACAAGTAAAGTTGGTCTTTTCTAAAAAAAAACACTATCAGTTATTTTAATGACACTATATATTCATATTGTGACGACCTATGGTGTGTAGATTTTTAAACATATCTACTATGTGTGAAGTCAAAACATGTTTATTTTATTTTTTCAAAGACGTGGCAATTATTATTTTCTAATACATGTACCAAATTTGAGCAGAGTATATCTTTAACGTGAATTACAATGAAACACTTGAATATTTATCACTGAGTAAAATGGAGTATCAAATGGGAATTTGAATTCTATCTTTGAAAATATAGTTCTATGACATTTTAAGATGTTAATGACTTATTTAGAGATTTATATTTGATCTGATTAGATATTTTCACTAATCTTACATACCACAATATGTTCTTCTCCCCGGGGTTTCCACGTTCGGATACAAAGCTTCGTATTCAGGAGGTACCTTAAAAACCAACAAACGCAATATATATAATGGTTTTAAAAAGCTACAAAGGGACATCCGTGGCCGGGTGGTTAAGGTTGTAGAATTCACTTGACCACCCATTCATCGCTGTGGGTTCGAATCCCGTCAGGGAGTTTGAATTCTTTTATATGTAGAAGCTATCCAGCTAGATTACTGAACGTTAGTGGTTGTACTCAGGTGACCGCTCGTGCCTTAAATAATGCACGGATTGTTAAATGTGATCTTCCTCCGCAAGTAAATCTGGAATGTCGCACGGTGACCGCTACAGTGTTTTTGAATGTCCTATAACTCAAATGTTCGTTCGTCGCTTTTTATTCTTTCCTTTTATCTTTTATCGTTCGTTCTGTTTATATATCAACAGACAGTATCTTACCTCTAAAGGTTCGTGAACGTTTTGGTAAGGTAGGTAGAGAAACAGTGGTTGACTCTTGTTGTGTTTAGCTATGATATGTTCTGCTCTATCCGCATACAAGTCCTGTAAAATAATTATATTTCATACCTTGACGACCTTTAGATATTATTCATTGTCATATATAAAACTCTCATATATACATATTCTTGAAGCTTTCAACAGAACAAACTGTAAGATACATTGTCTATTTATTCAAACCTCAGGTTTATACATGAACTAGAAAAATATTCTAAATTTTTTCGGATATGTACAAATAAATATTAAGGGAAACAACTCTGAAAGTACTTAGTCCTCATTTGAGGAAGAGTTATCCGTCGATAGGCAGCTGTTACCAACAAGTTATGAATTATTTATGGTAGAAACTATTCATTTATACTTAATATAACAATCAGTGTATAACAATGTATATATAAAAGCCGCATAAGTATTAAATAATCATGGCAGCTTTACTTTGTTTATGGAAGAAAGTAAAACTACGCTTGATGAATGTGTATAAAACACGAACTTCTTCCGAAGGTAAGCCTTAACAGTAATCATACTTTATTTAAATGCTTTTTATTCTTACTTATTGTTTAAAGTAAGTTAAAAGCCTCCAAAACCTATATATGTTTTACAGTATCCTATGTATTTATTATATGTAATTTTTTCTTACGGCTGAGTACGACCCGTTCTTGTCCCAGACAACGTTATATCCGTCGTGGAAATCTAGAAATTTGTCTGAAAATAAAATAAAAAATATTATACCGAGATAAAAGTCAAAAACTTCATCATCATCATCGATATCATCATCATCATCATCATCATCATCTTCATCATCATCATCGATATCATCATCATCATCATCATCATCATATCATCATCACCATCATCCACCATCATCTTCATCATCATCATCAACGAAAATATCATCATCATTATCATCATCAACAACAACAACAACAACAACAACAAAGACAACAACTAGAACAACGAGAAGAATAATTCCACGCCACCCCCAACAACAACATCGAAAATTTGAGCTTGTATGAGTTAACTTGCTGGAAAAAAACATAGCCCAAATAAGCAGCCCGAATTGAAGTTATCATTAATTGCCATAAATTTTACTGACTGATTTCTAAGGATTGTGTGAAACATATTTACCTCGAAAATGGGTGTAATAGTCCGACCGGCTGTTGTAGTAACCATAGAAGGAGTCGAACCCGCGGTACTCCGCTGTACACTCCCAGCTACAGAATCCCAGATGCCATCTAATTATAATTTTAAAGATAATATAATTATGATGTGTAAATAAATTAAATACACTTACAAAAACAATGTACATATTCAAAAGAACAAAATACATTTTGCAATGATATCTGATTAACTGACGCGGGAGATATCGATTTTTGATTTTATTGATACTAGACTTTTGCAGAAGGAACACACATTTGAAAAGCAGTCATCTAAATTTACTCTGCAAGAATGATTTAAAAAGCAAAGAATATTTTTATTTGGAATATTTACATGTTGACATTTTTAATTCCTTTGGGGTGACAAAAAATGGGCTAAAGTAAATGTTTCAAATCGTTTTAGTTTTGGGAGAAATTTTTAAAGTTTTTTTTCCTAATTATTTTTTTTTTGGGGGGGGGGGGGGGGGGTAACTTATTTACTTGTGAGTAAACTTTTTCATGTCATATAATTTAGTTATAATGTATAAACATTACGTTTTAACAAACAAAAGTAGCAGCCGACAGCTACTTACATACACATGTATTAATTTACGACAAATGTTTTCACGTATGTTTTACATTAAGATAATACATAAAAAAATATAAAGAATTTCTCACGGTGTCAAATGAAAATATGTACAATATCAATATACACTATTGACGTCATAACCCTATCAACATTAGACTGTAGCCAGTCATTTATGATAAATTAAACTTGATCTAAAATAAAAAGTAAACGAAAAACAACATGAAAAAAAAGTCGATACGATAGTTATTTCTTGTTTAGATATGGCCAAATGAAAGGCACAATATATGCCTCAGAATTGCATATCATTTTATTTATTTTTTGAAATCTTAAACACGTGTATATTAATGTTATGATAACATAATTAGAGCATATTTAATTAATGTAGGCAGAACGTGCAATAATGTATCGTAAAAGTACAGTAGTATTTTGACTTCTACAGTATACAAAATAATTATCTATAGTTATATACCATTTATATATATATTTTTTAAAACTATAACAAATCACCAAAAATTAAAGTTTTTGAGAAATATTTATCAATGAAAGCATTGCATAATGGACCTTCAAACGACAAGTACATATACACATACAATGGCATTCAGATCACTTATAGTTTGCAGTCACTTCTAAATCAGGACTTTTTAAAAAATAAATTACACCTATAAAAGTTTCAAAAATGACCGTTTTTACACAAGTATTATGCAAAAATTTCGATTATTTAAAAGATTGCAGTGCAATAGATTAGCAATATCATAACAATACGTGTACCAGAAAATGAAACAAAATTATCCCAAAGGAATAATAATTTCCTCCTCGTTCGTAAAATGCAACAATGAATAAATAAATAAATAACTGAGGAAGTTTTTAAAAATAACATACTTTCCAATAGCATGGGTGGCATAGCCAGCTTGTTTCAGATGTTTCGGAAGAAACGTCATGTTTAAAGGTGAACAGACATTTTGGCTGTTACCAATTACCAAATGCTGAAAATATCCACAAATATCATTCAAATAATACATACATTTAAGTCATCGACGTTAACATTCAGCGTTATAATGTATATGCCAAAAACCAAAATGCGTCGTTTTTGTTAAACCTCTTGAAGACATTTAGAAACGACTTCAGTTCAGTAAAACTACATGCAGTTGAACTTGTCAGAAAATAAAATAAACAAAGCATTAAAGCTGAATTTCTTAGAAAATAAAACACTTATAAATGAAGATAATAATGAAACTTCACTGTTCATGACAAAGAGACAAACACTATTTCATATACAGTGTTATATTTTAGCCTAAATACGAGAAGTAATGCAACATGAAAATAAAAGGTTTTGTAAACAATATCCGTGCGCTGAAAATGATGGCAGATGCAATACTTGTTCGGTTGTTGTAAATCGAATGTGTTTGAAAAGATATTAGGGTTCATATGAAAAATACAGACCTGCAAGCCGGCTTTGAATGGATAATACCCAGTCATAAAGGCATGTCGGGAGCTGGAAAAAAAGGAAGAATTTATATCATTTTACAGAGCCGTCCTGATAAGGTTCTATCAATGACCTCATAATTAACGCTACACATTAGGAAATAATTTAATTAGATCTGAACTTTAATCAGATTGTGGTTCTATAAATCTAACGATTTTGAAAGAATTGACACCATTACAACAGTAAGTCAGGTAAATCAATTAAATTGATGAAATTATTTTACGAATAAATCAGCTATACTCACGGCGAGCAGACTGGTTGAACATACGAGTGATTCAGAATCACTCCCTGGTAGGCGAGTTTATCAATGTTAGGTGTGATCATAGATGGGTTGTGGAACCCGACATCATTCCATCCTGAAATAGTGTAAGCACACAATTGATATACATCTAATTGTTTACCTACTAATTTTAAATTCTTTTGGGGCCCAGACGCCGCTTTACCAGTGAAACAATGGCAGTTCTTCAATACCGCAGTATGAACACAATAATTTACGGGTGACGAAAACACATTTTCATGTTTTGATTCAACCGGTGCTGGGGGCATCAAAAGGTAGATTGTAAGACCACTGTTGCCCATAAACAGGCTTAAACAAATCAAACCTGTAAGCCTACAACATTCAATTTTGCTGGTTTTTCCCCTTTTCTTTTAAGTTTCCATTTTATTATTCCGTTAAGATGCAATTGTCCCTTAATAACTATATTTATTATATACTTATAAATGAAATATTGTGAAATATTGATAAAATATTTTTATTTTCCTTTTTTTTCACTCAAAAAAAAAAGTATTTTTATCTGCAGGGAAACATATTTTCGTATTTTCACTGGTGTCTTGCCGGACTACTTTCTTCTAAATTCAGCCAATACACAAAATTTAAGGGAAAGCCTTTCAAATTTTAATGTCAAAAATGATAAAATGTATATAATAAACAGAACATTCAAGTTTTTTCCATAAATACATGATGTATTTTCTTCTTGTGGCATGAAAATGACCATATTTCACTCGTGGCTACCGCCACTCATGAAATATTTATTTTCATACCACTCGATGAAAATAAATCATGTATTTATAGAAAAAACTTGAATATCCTCTATTTATTTCATGCTTTCCAGTGTTTTATTGTAATATATCAGATGATTATATTCTGATAAACCACTATTGAAATTTATAAAATATAATTTTCACTGTAGCCGGACTATATCCGAATGCGGATGAAAAGAAAATCATAACTAAATGGAATAACAGGCAGAAATAAATGCCTTCATACGTAAATTGTGATTCTTTAGGAAAAGAAAGTCGATGTTACCATACATCATGTTAAAAATGTATCATAATTAGAGAAATTTAACAGAACTATATTTCAAAATTGATGATGTGACGTCATGATGTGATGACGTCACAAAGGAATGCGCGACGTTACGCGGCAAAATCAGTGAAAAATACCTAAAATCACTTAAAAAGCATGAAATAAAAAGAAAAATTATTTGTTTTACATATAAGATTGAAATATATTTCATTCGTGAACACCAGCTATTATATTTTCACTCGTGGCTACGCCACTCGTGAAAATATTGCATCTGGTGATCACTCAGTGAAATTATATTTCAATCTTACATGCAAAACAAACAAATATCCTCTATATAGCGTTTGTTTGCTGTTACACCATTGAAATGAAACTGACTTTAAAACTTGAAATTGTGTAGCCAAACCCAGATCAAAGCCAACATCATTGAATGCGGTCCATGAATTATGCTATCTCTTCTAATGTATGTTTCTGTTAACAGTATTGTTATACCATTTGCCAATTGCCCGAGATCGAATTAGCATCATTGTGAAGTAACTATTATGACCTGATTCCGTGACACATCACCTATATTTTAAATACTTTTGTGATTCACGAAAATAGGCTACAGTTGTGCCACTGGTATAATTTTTTTATGTCGAGATGTGGTAAATGTTTACAATTAACGCATGTTATGTATTTTGCACGTGTTTTAATATATTATTCTCTTTTTTTATTCTAGATTACGTGACATAAACAAAATTGTTTTCGTGTCTAAATAACGACTGGACGTAACGTAAGAAAACACATTACGTCGATTTATAAGAAGGTTGTATCTTATATTAAGTAAGATTGCATTGGTATATAAAATATTGGAATTACAGCAGGTAATTTGAAGTTATATTAATATTGATTACATTTATCATAATATACAAATTAAATAATCCGTTTTAATATATACTTATAAATAAAATAGACTTATTGATTAAAAACACGTGTTTCATTTTTTCGTATTTTCACTGTAAAAACTTATTTTCACTACAGTGAAACATATTTTCCATATTTTCACTGGTGTCTTGTCGGACTTCTTTCTTCTAAATTCAGCCGATACACAAAATTTTAGGGGAAATTTTTTCAAATTGTAATGTTAAAAAAGAGAAAAATGTTTAAAACGAACAGAATATTTTTTTTTCTGTAAATACAGGATTTATTTTCATTAAATGATTTAAAACTATCACATTTTACTCGTGGCTACCTCCACTTGTGAAATATCTATTTTCATACCATTCGATGAAAATAAATCCTATATTTTTAGGAAAAACTTGAATATCCTTATATTATTAATATTAATTGCACGAATTATTTAAATTTTAGATTAGAAAACTTTAATTTATTTAAGGCTATTTAATTTGTGATAGGTCGAATAAATTACTAACTTTTTCCAAGAATGCCATGTATTCCAGAAAATAATGCATTGTTTTATCTTATTTTATTTATTTCTTATTTTTGTAGGAAATTTAACGACATGTCAAATAGATTACTAAATTCTTTCAATACACACGTTCTCTCAAAAAATGTATTTGAGAAGCAATGAACGATCAATATGTATGTAAATAAATAAACGAATGAAGAAATCTTGTAATTTACTGGGAATTTACGTTTTTCCGTTGTTTGTTTGTTGTATTTTTTTTTGGTAGGGGAGAGGGTTGGGGTTTTACATCGCACACACATATTTTATGTCATATGGCGACTTTCCAGCTTTACTGGTGTTTACTGATGGAGGAAAACCTCAGGACTGGTGCCCCTCCGTGCAATTTTTCAAGCACGAACGGGCACCTGAGTATAACCATCAGTGTTCAATAAGTTAGTTGGATAGCTTCCTCGAAATTTGAACCCACAGCCATGTGGGGCAAGTGGTTTGACGCCTACGACCATAACCACTCGGCAAAGAACGCCCTATGTATTCAATCCATTAATAATAACAAGAAAAAGAAAACAAAGAAGTTATTTCAAAATTTCAGAAAAAAAATATTTCTCGTGATTTTCATCAAGAGTTCTTTAATTAAAAATCTTTTGCAATCGGACGAGTTTTTGTACTTAATATGCACAAGTTTCATGGACACGATTTAATAAATGAAATAAAAGAAATTCGTAAACAAACAAAAAAACAAGAAACAAATATAAGTTTCATCGACATTTCATCAAGGCTAAAGATTTTTTTTATTTCATTGCCTGAAAAAAATACTTCAACCAACTCCCAGATTTGTTTCGTCAATAATAAACTTATCAATGAGCGTTAAAGTCATAAATTTCGCTAATTGCTGGACCTTGAAATAGTTTGGATGCGTACGTTATGCAGTAAACAAGTATTAATAATGCCAATCTTTGACAGCAAGATTTGCATTTATTGCGTCGAATTTGAAGGTGTATCCCTGGAATGTCCCAAATTTATTTCTCGAACATAATATTTTATTTCCCTTGATCTAATCAGGAAACATAAACAAAATTGTCATCGACCGTTTTATGTGTTCGGTCTGGGACAAAAAAAAATTGGTTATTTTCTGTCAAAGGGTCGGTATCCATCGACTTATGCTAAAACCTTATCAATACATGCACACATAAGAAGGGTTCTTGGGAAAAATATACAATGTATAACATAAGTGAAAAATATTGAATTATTAGTCGTACATTTGTGCAACAGAACTAACAAAATGTAATTTAATTATATATTTCAGAACAGTGATAATGCATTATTTACTACATCGATCCTGGTAGTATGCGCATGCGCATTGGTCAGCGTTCATTGTCAACCAGTTCCGTACGCATCACAGCAAAATACAGGGCCATTACAACAGATAATGTCACAGACGCAGCCAAACCAGCCATTCATGTATAACAGCTGGGGATCGAACCCCTACAGTTCAACAAGCTCCGGGCTTTTCTCGGGAAACAATTTTTGGCATCGTCTGCTAATAGGATGGTACCGGGAAGGTTTAATTGACGTAATGGATTTGATGAATTTGGCTTGAGATATTAAACAAATATAGTAAGTCTTCTTTTTATAATTTCACAGTTTGTTGAATGTGATTGTTGTTAATTTTCTCTTTGATTTAGATTTATTACCTTTTTGTCAACCCATAACTTGTTGCACGGTCAAGAAATACGTTTTATTTGAAATACTGCACGTTTTTTTTGCAAGTAAATTACATTCTTTTCAAATTGTACTAAAATTTATTTGATATATTTTCTATACACTACGGTGTCCCGTTAGGACCATCCCGACATACTTATAACTCGAAAAAAAAACACGAAAAAACTATGTTGAAGCGTCAAAATAACGAAACAACGATGGTGAAAAGTCGAAATAACGAAACTACGATGGTGAAAACTTGATATAGTTTCACAACCCTGGCTTCGTAATTTCGACTTTTCACCATCGTAATTTCGTTGTTTTGAGTATTGTGTGTGTGGGATGGCCCTAACGGGACACCGTAATACAATGAGTAAGATTGAAAATATGACGTAAGTAAAGTGAGATCATAATAAATATATTAATTAATATTCTACATCTATGGTGAAACGATTTCTTCCTGTTTGTATAATACGGTGGCATAAAAGTGACATTTGCAAATTTTTTATTTTTTCTGTTTTTGAAACTGTTTTTTTTTTTGTTTTTCGCACATTTTTTATTTATTTTTTGTTTTTGGAACTTTTTGTTTTTGTTTTTCGCACTTCACTCCATTATCAGTCAATTATTACTGTAATTTTATTACATCATGGAGTTGTATGACCATTTATAATTTGCCATTTTGTAGTATTTTGTTTTTACATATTACTTGCCATTTTGTTTTATTTTGTATGTATGTAATGTTTTATGTTGTTACATGCCCCTATGGGCCCTGACGTATTCAAATAAACCTTGTAACCACACATAGTTACTTCCCTAAGTATGAAATAAGCCGTTAATGTACCTCAGTATACACGATGGGGTCTCACATCGAGGAATTTCTACGAAAGCGAGGGGTAGACTCTTTAACACTGGCACGAATGGCCACCGATAAGGTAACTTGGATT